AGGAGGGAAAGGAGGAGGAGGAGGAGGAGCAGCCTCAGGTGCAGGCAATCATCTCACGGGGGAAGCAGGGAAATAGCGACAGACGCTCCAGCCGCACCACGGTAACAGGACTCCCCTGCCAAGCAGTTCGGCATGGTGAGGATGCTGTAGGTGAGAAAGCTTGCTCTCTTGCTTTAAAACAGGGGATTGGAGAAAGTAGTGATTATTTTTTTTTTGACGTGCTCTGTGGCTTGTAGACAAAGGGAACGGATAGCCGGAAATATTCTGGGATGTTGTGAGAGCTAAAGGACTTTGTGTACAGCGTGGCGATGCACGGCAGGAAATTAACTCCAAAAAAAGAATGATTTCTCTCAAAGTGCTGCGACAGAATTGAAGGTTTGGCTTTTCTAGTGTCTGAAATTCCTCCTGAAGACACAGCAAGGACTATCAAAAACATCAGAGAGCTCCTGGTACTTTTAAAGAGACTTAAAGCCAATGCCGGCGTAATATCTGAATGACCTTGGAGATCATTTTGTGTGGATTCATTTATTTTCACTGCCAGTCTTCTAGTCTCAGGAACTCTAGGATTAAAGATGCTTTTAACGTTTTAGGGGCCTTTCAGAAACCAAGATTGTATACAATTAATTACCTGCCTAATGATTGTGAACTAATCAAGCATTTACTTAAAACTGAGCACAGAAGATGCTTTCTTCTCACCTTTGCTCTCTCCATAAGTGTGAATAAAACAAACAAGGTAATGTCCTGCAATTAGAAGAACGTTTTCTTTAAAGCACCTATTTATTATGCTGATCATCTAATAAGTACAGAAACCCTAAACCCCTGAGAAGATGAAGCTGAATAACAGAATAACGGAGTAGTAAACAATGGCAGCTTTTCTAGTCAAATCAGCATTTCATTAGCTTCCCGGCAGAATGCAGATGGAAGTTTCTGAGCTCCTTGTGTGGGGGTTTGTGAAATGATTCAGGTGTTGCTACAGAGGTGAGCAATATCATGGATATGCCTATGAACTCCTGGGTACTGATCCACTGTAGCAGATAATGGCAGAGTTTCCAAAGATGATGATTTTAAAATTGCCATTGCTGAAATTAAATTCAAGAGGATTTGTTTTGTCTGTGGGGACATTGAATTATGGTTCTGGCATTAATAACTGTAATGGACTATAACTGTATGAAGGAACTGTGAATATTGACATAAGTCTCCAAATTTTATTCTTAAATTATTTTAATTTTTAAGTGACTAGACACAATCTTCCTCATTGTATGTGAGATGTATGTTTTCTTTCTTGGGAGTCAGAGGACAAATCTGCCTCGTCCCCCACCCGTCTCCCTCCAAATAAAATTCATTATTCATACCCAAACAGTGGTGAGTCTATTGGAATTAACCTTGACAAAAATGTTTTCCTTACCTTTCCAATGAATAGCATGGATCAGACGGAGTGCCACCTCCTGAACGGAGCCACAAAAGACAGCATTAGAGGATGAACTTTTTGCTTTAGTCTCCAATCAGTCTGTGATTTAAACTGAGACATTATAAAGATTATCTCCACTAACTGCTGGTCCAGGAAACCTGAGCTGTACTGAGGTTCCTTCTTCCCTTCCTTCCTCTCTCCCCAGTATATTCCAAAGTAAAGGACTTTCTCAGGAAAATAAGCAGAGATTTCCCCCCCTCCCCTCCCCGGCACCTCCTTCCCTGGGAAATGAATGTGTCTCTTTTGTCAGTTCCTATTTCTGTATTTCTGGGTACCTGTTTGTTTTTAGAAGTGCCTTGTGTTTGCTAAAGATGGGTCAAGAGCACTGGAGGAGCTGATCAGTGGCCTTTCTCTTTCTGGCTTTTGTTTTTCTTTTCTTTTCTTTCTTTCTTTCCTTAAAGCTAAGGTGTGCCAGAGGTGATGCACTGATGCTGAGGAGGCATCAACAGCTATGGGACTGTAATCCCTCCCATGTAAGCACTGGCAGTGTCTGCAGAGAGAGACTGTGAGAGGCTGAAGCAGAGCTTAGCTGCTGTTCAGAAAAAAAATCAGATTGCACCCTAAGCACAAAGCATGAACCAGTCCCGATGGATTGAATGGAGGACTCTGAATATGAGCAGTAGTGTTATGAACATATCTGAGCACCTCTCCTGCCCTCTTGGATTCGGTCACTACAATGCAGTTGACATCTGTATCCTTGAGACAGTCGTTATTGTCTTGCTAACCTTTCTGATCATTGCGGGTAACTTAACTGTGATACCTAAGCACAAAGCATGAACCAGTCCCGATGGATTGAATGGAGGACTCTGAATATGAGCAGTAGTGTTATGAACATATCTGAGCACCTCTCCTGCCCTCTTGGATTCGGTCACTACAATGCAGTTGACATCTGTATCCTTGAGACAGTCGTTATTGTCTTGCTAACCTTTCTGATCATTGCGGGTAACTTAACTGTGATATTTGTTTTCCACTGTGCTCCACTCCTGCACCATTACACCACCAGCTACTTCATCCAGACCATGGCCTATGCTGATCTTTTCGTTGGAGTCAGCTGCTTGGTTCCTACTTTGTCCCTGCTGCACTACTCGACAGGTGTCCACGAGTCCTTGACTTGTCAGGTGTTCGGATACATCATCTCTGTGCTCAAAAGCGTCTCCATGGCCTGTCTGGCTTGCATCAGCGTGGATCGCTATCTGGCTATCACCAAGCCTCTCTCCTATAACCAGCTGGTCACACCTTGTCGCTTGAGAATCTGCATCATTCTCATCTGGATCTACTCTTGCCTCATCTTCTTGCCTTCCTTTTTCGGTTGGGGAAAACCTGGTTACCATGGAGATATTTTTGAGTGGTGTGCTACCTCCTGGCTAACTAACGCCTATTTCACTGGCTTTATCGTGTGCTTACTGTACGCTCCTGCTGCCTTTGTCATATGCTTCACCTACTTCCACATCTTTAAAATCTGCCGGCAGCACACCAAAGAGATAAACGAGCGGCGCGCGCGCTTCCCCAGCCACGAGGTGGATGCTGCTGGGGACACCGGGCACAGCCCCGACCGCCGCTATGCCATGGTCCTGTTCCGGATCACCAGTGTGTTCTACGTGCTCTGGCTCCCTTATATCATATACTTCCTGCTGGAGAGCTCTAGGATCTTGGAAAACCCCGCGCTCTCCTTCTTAACGACGTGGCTTGCTATAAGCAATAGTTTCTGCAACTGTGTGATCTATAGCCTCTCCAACAGCGTTTTCAGGCTGGGACTGCGGAGGCTCTCGGAGACGATATGTTCATCTTGTATGTGTTTAAAAGACAGGGACGTGCGGGACCCTAAGCCGAGGAAACGGGCTAATTCCTGCTCCATTTGAAGGGAACTGGCACGACCTGGAGTTTTGATAGTATTTGCTGTGTCTGGAAACTTGCCAGAGAGAAGTGTTTACTTGAGCAGCTTGCCGTGATGTTAGAGTGAGCTTGAAAGGGATGGAGGAGAAGGAAAAGGGGTCGCTGAACCTGACTGTAGCTCCTGTGACATGGTGAGGAGAGCGATGCGACAGAGACGACGGAGAAAGTCAGAACTAAAAATCTTCCAAAGGGCGTGAAGTAACTACCACAGCAGAGGAGGTTCCTCATAAAATGAATAAGCTAGTCACTACCTTCTGTTCCCCCCCCGTAGACGAGCTGTCCTACTGTCTCTGTGTCAGAATATACTGTAGCCTTCTGAATTTCAATATATTTAAGAGGAAGCAATCAGCACCACAGGCAGTGGCTGCCCGTAAATCATATACCTGAGGACTGTAGTAGTTATTGCAGATTAATAATCAGCTCTGTCTCTGCTCACATCTGGTGCAATTTTCAGTTGTACAAACAATGCATTAACCCTCCCCTGGGCATGATGCTTTGGGAGAAACCGGCACGTTTTGGCACAACTTCCACAGCAGCTCTCCCTCTCATCTCCCCTTTTTTTCCATGCTCTGCATCCCTAGATTCCATCCAAGTGGGGTAGTTTGAGGGGCACCTACGAGGCAGACTGAGTTTTCTTCCTGCAGAAAGCAGTAGCCCTTCCTGGGGCTGAGTACAGTGACTTCTTCACTCCTCATCCTCTCGGCCCTGTTCAACCAGCACACGGTGTCGGTGTAGTGCCCCTTAGGGTGTACTAAAGCTTTTCCTTTATTGGCTCCACAGATCCTGCTCATGCAGATAGGATAATGGCACACAGCAGTGTGCAGCACTGCTTGGAAAATTAAACCTAACCAACCCATTTCTTTGGGAACTCTCAAGAGCTTTACTGTTGTAGCTGTCAGTCCGTTGTGTGAACCTCGCTTGCACATACTGTATTCTTTTTTTTTTCCAGGAGAAAAGGTTTAATTGTGGTCTGTGCCTAATGTTTTCATAGCACACGGAATAGGTCAATGCTACGGGATGAAAAAAAAAAAAGACACTTGCTTTAAGAGAAATCTTTCTGTGCAGTTGTCGAAGAGCTGTTTGTTAGACAAGTGTTGGAGGAGGAGGTGAACGAGACAGTTTAGTGTTAATACAGGCCAAGAGCTTCACTGTTTCCTTTTGTACTGAACTGACTTTCAGGTCCTGTGATGAAATCTGTCAGATTTTGCAAGGGCACACATTAGGTCTGTGTAATCAATTGCCAGGGGTTCAGATGCATGCCAGTCAATACAATAGTTAAAATCTCATCTTCAACCAAATGTCGTTTCCTTAGATGGTTATTGGCTTTTAAAAAGGGCCCAATCATTGATTGTTGGTGCCTTTCAGCACTGCACTATTACTCCTTCTTTCACCAAAACGCATATGTAAAGACTGTGCCTATGACCTTTTGTAATGGAAGCTGACCACGTCTGCACACGGGTGGTTCGACTCTAGAGTCCCTTAACCCTGTACTCTTTGTTCTGTTGAGGTGGTTCTGAACCCCTGTACATTCTTTTTTAAACCTGTAAGAAAGCTGAAAGAATGGAATAAAGTAGTATGATGTCTATCAAACCCAGCCTTGGCGTTAGTTCCCTGATGTTACTCTCTGTTCTCTGGGAAAGTCCTTTCGGGTTAGGACTCGAGTGAACGATTTCAAATCCAAACCTCAAAGCTGCTTACTTGCTGTCTGAAACGTTTGTGTACTGGTTTCTAGCACTGCAGAGTCTTCAAAGCAGATCCAAGTATGACTTGAAACATTCCTGGAGCTGAGCTGCTGCTGACAATCAGCTCTAGGAGCTATTAGGGAAAAACGAGTCGTATCCTTGCACGGATCTTGTGATGCTCCGTGTCTGCAGGAACGTGGCTGCTGCCTTCTTTTGGCAGGTTGCTGTTTATTTTGGAAGGCTCCTTTGGCTGCTTGCTGCTCTGTAAGGTTGTGGAACTGTCTCTTCTTACAGGCACCACTTGGATTCGCTCTGTTTTGTCGTTGCTGGTCATTGTTTCACGCTTAGAGGGCCCTTAGCGTGCGAGAGTTAGGCAAGGAGCAACGAAATATCTCATTTCTCACCACTCCCAGGGCTGGTTTCACACCAGTAAAGTCGTTTTGTAGCTGTGCTCCAGTGCTGGCTGCTTACCTCTGCTGGTTTTTATTGGCTTTTCTGCTGATGAGTTTCTATAGGACCTTTGGAAATTGAAGGAAAGTTCTAGAAAATGCTTGAGATCGAGCTAACGTTGATTAAACCCATCCTGGAGGTAGCAGATGCCTTGTGAGCACAGGACTGTAAGTACAGACATGTAGAAACACCTGAGCTGACTCATTTGTGCTGATTGTGCCTTAGTTGAACCCTGTTGTGTGACCTCAGCACGTGGAGCTCGTGCAGCAACTTGGAGCTTTTTTGCCTGCAAGTGGAGTTGTCAGGAGGAACTGGAGGTTTTCCTTTTCCTTAGGCTGTTGTTGGAGGGAGAGAATATGGTAGAAATCCAATGCCCTGCAAACAAATTGTATGTTCTAAGGTTGCTCACCCCTTTGTAAATTCTTTTGGTTTGTTTCTTAAACATTGGCTTAATGATGTTGGTGCGAGAATGATAATTTGCTTACCAAACCTTGAGTTTGGGTTGCTGCAAAGTCACATTTCAACCTATTCTCTATAAATCTCCTGGAATCTGTCAAATTAAACATCCTCTGCAGCCTTAAATTTGCTTTTCTTCCTGCTGTTTCCCAGGTGACAGGATTTGACCTGGTGGTCAGTCACATGAATCTTTAAATTTAGTAAGTGTGTTTCATTTTTTTTGGCAGTGTTTTCTAAACTCATGGTTTAAAATTTTTATTAGAGGGAGCTTTGTTATGGTTTTAACTGATGCCGTCTGAGGATTCCAGCTGGTGCTAAATTCCCTTCCAACATGATCAGGTTGGGAGTTTTAATGGCTTTGAAAAAAGCCACAGACATTCCAGTCACCTGATCTGTCACTTTGGATTTGCATTCTGTCATTATATAAATTCTCATTTTCTTGTAGGAAAATCTGAGTAAATGAGACTTTGAAAGGTTTCACCTGCAGTGCATATCCCACTCTCATGTGCCTAAAGAGCTTCATGAAATACCTGGTAAAGAGGTGACCAGACAGTAAGTAAGGGAGTTGACAGGAAAAAATCCTTACTGATAATACAGGTCATGAAAAGTAGCCAGGAGAAGAAAACATATGTAAAATATGAAGTGAAAACGAGGAGCGATGCCTAATGGGTCAGCAAAACAAATTTATACAGGAAAAACTCCACTGTGCAGGTAGATGATGTTGTGCTGTTCATCTCTCCTGAACACTTGTGCTCACAGCCTACCAGAGGCAATGTCAAGGTCGATTGCCTCACCATTTCTGGAGCCTCATGTCTTCAGCCTAAGGAAAAGGCACAAAAATTGTGTAATGGCAGCAAAAGCACTACCAGGAATGGCATTTTTTTCTTCCCCCTACTCTACATTCTTCCTTTTTTCTGCAATGGCTAAGTGAATTTCTCCTTCAAATCCTGTTCTTGAAAGGAGCTGTAGGGATGGAAAGCACATTGCTGCCTTTGAAAAGTTCACTTATTTTCTTAGAGTAAGATATTTTTTCCTCCTTTCGGTTGAAGAATCCGTTTTGTAATTGTACTTGTAAAGCACGAGGTGTGGAGAGAGGTTTATTTTTGGGCTTCCCCTGCTGAAAACTTGGGAGTGTTTTGCTTTATTGAGGTCCAGTTTGGGAAGACCTTTTAAAAATCAGGTTTGTGTTGGATTTGTGAGGTTTGTTTGACAAGGGAATATCCATGAGCACACCGAGATTTTACACTCAGCAAAGTAAAATGTCTTTTTTTTTTTTTTGATCGATTAGCTGTGGATATTAGAAATTGGCATGTAATGAGGAGTTATTTAATTAGCTATTTCATCTTGCAGATGAAAAATTAAGGTTGTCTATAACCAAATGTTGATTGTTCCAACCAGATACTGTGTGGCTGGAACATCCATCAGATTTCTTACTGCCTCAACACGGAGCTATCTTATCTTTTCCCATATTACAGTTGTGGCCAAACACATAAATCCACTGATTTCTCATTGTTCAGCGTTGCTGTTGGAATGCTGAGCACCTGGGCCCAAGGTGCTGCTGTTCCCGGGGTGGATCATCCCTTGAACAGCTTTCCAGCTCCAGTGCAGCACTCCAGGATCAGCTGTGGTTTGCAGATCTTTCACTTTTATTGTCCCTGTCACCAAGAGGAGAAGTTGAGTCCTTTGCCTTGGTCCCTGCCCTCTGTTCCCTCTGGCTGTGGTGGGGATGGGGTGGTGCATTGCTCTACTGAAGAGCTGAGTTTAATGGGGTTTGTTGGGTTTGTTTTTTGATGAAAATACTTTATAGGTGTCATATGAGTGGCAAAACCCAACCATTGCTTTGTCGACTAGATGCCAGTTAATTTTTAGGCCTTGCCAGAACTGGCAGCATCACTGAGGTAGTGTTTTCCTGTCACTTGCTCAGAACATTTCCCAAAAATTACAGGAGTTTTGCTTATCCAAATACTTAGCTCAAGTAAGATCTGATTTTTCCCCCCCTACTGAACACAGACATGATTAATTTTTGTGAGTATGTACTGAATTGATCCATAGATCTCTGCAGATCTCAGTTTCTGTCTCTGCCATTGTTGATGGGGTGAAGCAGTGTAATGGGTGTTTGAGAGGAGCTTCCTACACACAGATTTTTCTAGTCATTCTGAAACAAAATGATTCCTTTCCCAGTCTGACATTAGGACAGTCCTCTGAGCTCCGGGAGCTGTAAGTGCCTGAGGAGCAGGATGTGAATGGAGAAGCAGCTGTTAATGGCTTTGTGCCCCAGCACAGCCTGGAGAAAATGCTAAAAACACCTCAGTTTTACTTCCCTGATTTCTGTGGACTTTGCCTTTGTGAAAGGTAGGATGAATATAAGGGAACCTTAG